ATAGTCTTACGTACGAAAAAAATAATTCCGAACGATTTTGGTGGAATGTCGTAGAATTCCAGCCCAGGTGATGTAGTTGGCTTCGAATAGAACCCAAGTGATTAGTTTAATAATTCAGTTCATAATTCATTCGTTTGATGTTTCGTGTCCTCTTTATAGAAACTTTAATCGTAAACAAACATCAACCGTTAGCAGAAATCAGGTTTCTAGGAAAGCAGCAGACGCGATTAAATCGTGCGCACTTGAAACATGAAAGTGATGATAATTTATGGTTTGTTTTACTAGATGCTCTATAGAGTAGAACCATGTTGTAATTTTTTTTTTTCGTCAATCCATAACCTGATGAAAAAGTGATTTGCGTTTCGCATGTCGATTCAAAGAACATCAATATTCTGTGCGAATCCCAATAACATGGAAATTCCCAGTTGCAAAAGCTCTTACATAGCCGCAAATACATAGAGCGTTTTGTGTGCGTTGCATTGTTTAGTGTTCTTATATAGCGTTCTGTTGACTTGGTATTTCTTCTTCATTCTTCCTTCATCCAATATTGATATCAAACATCAGTTTATGAATATTCAGTGTTTAGTTTCTGTCTCTAACTGCTACTGTTATTTAAATCATATGAACATTTGAAACACCGATCTTCCTTGTGAGTAAAGTAAAGTAAAGTGCTCTTTATATGAGATATAAACAGAGATAAGATCATCAACACAGATTTAATGAATGAATGAATCGACCGATGAACCAGGCATTTGTTATTGGCACCAACACAACCATGTCTAAAACTATATTGCTATATATTATTATTATTGTCGACATAAATGAATCATGAACTTTATTTTCGTTTCGAATCAAAACGATTCATAACTTGAAAATCGTGTTTCTACAATAAATCGTCACAACTTGTATTCAGTCGTGCAAATGATCGAATGCACGTCACACATTTTTAAAAATAAATATTCCATTTCAATTGAAGTTTACAACGCGACCGCTGAAAACGATAGTTTTGCTATTATTATCCCAGATGTAGTACATAAAATTATGATCGGCACGGAATTTCAGTGCATTAAATGAACCACTTAGGAGCACTATTTTAACGCCTAGAAAAAATTTAAAAAGGTATTAAAAGGTCTATTTGGTTATGAAGAAAACAAGAGATATCCCACACAAATCTTACCTGTGGCAGCTGCAGCTTCAGAACCTCCTTCGGAAACTGTAATAAAAGCCTTATGCACAACATCTGATACTTGCAATGCATCACCGGTCTCCGATAGCCCCCTCAAATTTGCATTCGATGCAAATATTTCATTGATGCCCAACTAAAAAGGTAACACATCATTTGGAAACCAATCGCAAAAGCAAAAAGGTGAAAAGGTGGATGGATGGATACATACATTTTTCAAAGCGTCATTCAGACTTGTTTCATATTCAACGGTAAATTTCGGAATCCAAACTTCAAGCTTTTGCTCACTCAATTTATCGGTGATTGAATTTAAGCTATCGCTGTTCAGTTTGGTTTCTAATGCAGATAGTCCGGTTCGACTATTTGGTAATACGAATAACGCTGAGAAATTGGACTCGGCGTATTCCATTTTGAGCGCAGTGGCGTCCAAATCCGGCAAATCGGCATAACTGAACCATTCTTCATTGTACATTAAATCAACTGGCACTGTTTCCGTTTCACTAATGTAAAAGTTTCCTTTACGTGTGGAGTCTTCGTAGAATTTATCCTTCCATTCGGCCTTGAAATGGATAGCATTCACCAGAATGACACGGGAATCAGCGCTCAATGAATCAGATTTGATTAAATTTGTAATTCGCTTATTTGTTTTATTCTCAACGAAACGGTTGATTTTTTGTGCGGTTTCATCTTTATTTGCAAAATTCACCGACTCAATACCCGACAAAAATTGTTGAGCAGCCACTTCTTGGAAGTTCTTGTTTATTGGATAGTCTTGTTGTAGGTAAATTTGATTGGCAATCGAAAGCGTGGCCTTTCCGGCGCCACGTTGAAGCGATCCATAATGTTCGTAAAATTGGTTTGCTATCGCTGCTTTGTCACCACTCAAATGAAGTCCCTTTTTCAGTTCATCGAATGTGGATCCATTGGTCGCCTGAGACAATAGCACAAGCGCATTTGACACTGAGAACGGTGATATTATCACATTTCCTTGCGTTGACTTGGCACATTCCTAAATGCAGAACATTGGATATTCATTTGAAATTCTTTTTTCAAACATTTTACGTGATCGAACTATGTACCTGGTACAAATCTGATGCAAAACTAAAAATTCCCTTGGTTAAATCATTCGTTTGGTCCACCGATGCCACAATGGAGCAAACAGCAAATGCAATCACCAATCGCAACACTGCAATGGAATGAAACTGTTAGTGAAACAATTTTAACACACTTGATCATTGACCACTTTGTATACTTTTTTTCAAATAGTCTCCACTCCTGTCTCAAACACAAAACGAAGTCGTCAGCGTCAATTGTTTTGTCCAAGCAACCCACGAAACATTCAAACACAAATGAATCGATTTCGAAGACATCTTTCCGCCTTTATAGTATGAAGTTGCCCGTAGAATAAATTTTAATCGCTTTAAAAACTGGTTTTTGATGCGGCTTAAGTGCCACCGGTTGATGATGAACAACAGCCATTGCTTGCATTGATAGCTTTGAACTTGATCTTTCTTTTATTCTTTAGTGTTTCTTCTCTTCACAATTTTGTTTCTTCGTTTTGTTCTTCAACATTTCGTATTCATGACACGAAACATACAGACAAAATATAAACATTACATATAGATACAGGTGGGCGGAGTAAGAGAGTATAATTCATACTCCTACTCCTACTCCCATACAAACGGAAAATGAGTATGTCTCGACATACTCTCATACTCATAGATACTCTTTGAGTATGAGAGTATATACTCAGAGTATATACTCTTTGATTTTGAGTATGTCTCGACCTACTCATTTTTTACGCAAAGAGTAACTCTACACTTACTCTCTCGTTTTCCCTCCCTCAGAAAAATATATAAAGGATATATAACTTTTTCTGAGGAGAAAAAAAATTGAAAATGAGTATGTCGAGACATACTCAAATGATTAGGAAAAAGAGTATGAAAAAGAGTAGGAAAAAGAGTAGGTGTAGAGTTACTCTTTGGGTAAAAAATGAGTAGGTCGAGACATACTCAAAATCAAAGAGTATATACTCTGAGTATATACTCTCATACTCAAAGAGTATCTATGAGTATGAGAGTATGTCGAGACATACTCATTTTCGAAATGAGTGAGTATGAGAGTATATACTCGCGAATTCGCCCACCTGTACATATAGAGACAGATGAGAAACATATGGCACGCATGCATCACATTGACTATTCCGCATTTTCTAGACTTGCCAAAGATAAAATAAGAAAGTTAAACATTCGCGCTCTTTTAGAACCTACGAAAGAACTCTATTTGGGTCTAGTTTGTTATTGCATAACAAACTATAACTGAGCCGTTACATGAAATGTACATCATAATGAAAATGAAAATTTTCAAGTATCGTATTGGTAATAACGTTCAAATCTAAATTTGTAGTTAGTCACAGATAATAATTAAACATAAAAACAGAATCTGTTTTGGAATTAAAAAATCCAAAGTTTTGGACCCCCATGGAGAAAAAAAAAACGAAGTTAGTACTGTACATTGTATACTCATTTCCATTAATATCTGTGATGTCAAACTCATTTGACATATTTCGGGACGCACTCCTGAGAATATAGAGACGGTTTGAATATTGAAAATCACAGATGTCGCTAAGCTATAAAAAAAAACATTGAGCAATGCTTTTGGATTCAAAAAACATTTCTTCTTCGATCAAATTCTAAGCACAACTTGACAGTAATTCCGCGGTGATTATGAGTTTAATATGCATGAACATCTTAAAGAAGCAACGCGATCAAGTAGGTCTTTTCGTGCCAAAGCCTCCACTTTTTCTCTCAAAGTCAATGACTTTTTCGCCCAAAGCAGTTTCAGAGACTTTTTATCCCAAACTGATAGAATCCGGAAATCGTGCACTGAATATTTCGACGTCAACTACCGCATATCTTCCGACATCGTACGTTTTTGAAATGAACATTTTGGAATGAAAATTAGGCCTTTTTGAGCCGAAGCGCTCCACTTTTCCTTCCAAATTCAATGACCTTTTCACATGATGTAGCGGGATCTGTATTGAAAATTCATTTGTTTGTCTCCATTGATACATAACCACCAAGGGTATGTTTCGTCTTGTTTGCTTTGACATTTCTTCGTAACAGATATTAATGGAAATGTCTATACAATGTATGTTTCATGAAACGGTAAAAATTTGTAATAAAATAACAGTTTGTTCAAGTAGTTAATAAATAAAATACTTTTTTCTGTTCGCGTAACTGATAAGAGATAAGTGATAACTGTCATTAGCAAAGTTGAAAAATAGATTGAGTACTACATTTTTGCGTGAGACACTAATTCGTTATCTCTTATTAACAACGCGAAAAACCGCGGGAATTTCGAGTTTTCTCTTATCTTTTTTCGCGGGACTGATAAGAGATAAGGAGATGACATCTTCAGAAAAAAACTGTAGCTCTTGACCTGATCTATAACTTTGCTGAAGACAGTTATCACTTATCTCTTATCAGTTTCGCGAAAAATGAGATGGCATACATACCTTATTTCCATACAAATGCATACAAATGAATAGAGGTCCAGTCAGACCCGAGGTGCATGAACTAAGGTTTTAAAATAAGTGCATGAGCGAGGGTTAATTAAAATGTTTGCATGAAATCTCGTAAAAAAGGCGTTTTGACAACGAGAAGGAAACTCAATCGTAGTCTTTTCGTTAAATTGGTTTGGTCATTTCTCTTGAACTCACAGTAATCTGGTCGAATATTTATGATGTCAATAGCGGCCATCCCAGCATCAGCAATTTATTTGACTGAGCTCTCAAATGGATTCAATCACTTCAATCAGGATTTATATCAGGTTTTGTAATTAGTAAATGTCTTCTACTTGACAAATGTTGTTCTTATAGCAATGTATCGATTCAACGAGTGGAAATGTGCTTTTTTCGCCGTTTTCTATTTTGAATGCTCTCACTCTTCTATCGCAAGCAGCCAATGGCACCACATTTAAGCAACTCAGACAACGATTGTATTTGGACGAAAAAAAAGCCATCACCGCAAACCAATTCGATTAGTTAAACCGACAGATCAAACCGGATATTCTGAATGAAGATACTCGTGTCGTCTTGACGAATGCAACTTATTTCAAAGGCAACTGGCAATACAAGTTTGACAAGGAGCTTACGACGAAACGCGATTTCTTTATCAGCCAAACTGAAAAAGTTGCCGTTGATTTCATGGAAATCGAGAGCAATTTTGACTATGACTACTCAAATGAGTTGGAGGCTGTGGCATTGGTACTGAACTACGCAGAATCCAAATTCGCTTTTATTATCGTTCTGCCCGAAAGTTGCACTGGATTATCGGCTGTTTTCACTGGTCGTATCACCAAATTTGACGAAAACTGTTATTGTCATACTGTTGTCTTGTTGATTCATTTAAATTGGCAATCCACAATCGAAGTAAATCCGATTGAACTGCACCAAATTTGCGAATCCTTTGAGCGGGCCAACACCAAATCCATTTTAATCATGTCAAAAGCGTGTGTCATTTAAATATAAAAATAAAGAACCTTCAACAGCTTTCCACTATTGTCAAAGACAACAATCAATTGACTATAAACAGCTTTAAATTATCGCAGACACAAACCAAAATAGCTTTAACTTGCATGATTTATACAGAGAAATGCAGCGCCATCTATTGATTTTATATTGAATTTTAGCAAAGAACAGAACACCTACATAAAAAGTTTATATAGTGTACAAAATCTGGTTAAATGAAGAAGGTTCTTTATCTCTGCTCAAAAAGCGTTTTTTCCATTCTGTCAACCCAAATTATTTTATTTTAATAGTCTAAATGTAAGTAAAGCGTTTTAAGAGATATCTTGTCCATGTTACGTTCGGAATTATTGTAGAAAATAAAATGGACTACAAATAAGCCAAAGACACCTAGTCACTATCTCTTTCCAATAGCGAGAAAAATGCAAAAAAAAACGCCTTTTCCGCTCAATGCTGAGTTGTGTCACTTTTGCTTGCAACTTTATTTATCTCTTTTTTGCTCGGAGATAAAGAGCTTATAGGTTGTTCTTTCATTCTATGGGTGTCAATTATATGGAATTAAAATAAGAAGCGACGAAAATAAAGAACACAAATTTAACCTCAATCATTTATCAAACGAATGTATTTCTCGAAACACAAAAATAAACCAATTTTTCAAACGGGCGATTCGTCTCAATTAAAAGTTGGTAAGTCGTCCTATGAAAATCGTCGTTTTGCTTTTGTTATCCCAGATGTAGTACATAAAATTATGATCAGCGAGGAATTTCGGCATATTCAATTCGAGACTCAATGGAATTATCCTCAAACCTTGATGTAATAGAATGGTCATATTCAAATATATATAAACCATGAAGATAAATTGCAGACAAATCGATTTACCTGTAGCAGCAGCAGCCTCTGAGCCTCCTTCGTACACTGTAATGAAGGCCTTGTGAACGACATCGGACACTTTTAGCGACTCCCCAGATTGTAAAAGGCCACTCAAATCAGCGTTATCCGAGAACATCTCACCCATTCCCAACTAAAGATACAACGTTTATTTGAATGAAACAAATATCAAATGATTCTAACATTGATAAGCAATACATACATTTTTCAAAGCATCATTGAGATTCGTTTCGAATTCAACGGTGAATTTTGGAATTGAAACTTCAACTTTTCTCTCTTGCATTTTATCTGTAACTGATCCGAGATCATAGTTTTTCAATTTGTCTTCCAACGCAGACAATCCTGTTCGACTGTTTGGCAGAATGAAAATCATTGAAAGTTCGGAATCGGCATATTTCATTTGAAGAGCAGTGGCATCCAAGTCCGGTAAACTAGCGTATTTGAAATATGTATCAATGTTCATAAAATCCACATCGACACTGTCCGTTTGACTTGTGTAAAATTTGCCTTTATAAGTTTCGCTTTCGTAGAATTTGGTTTCCCAATCGCCTTTGAAATGAACGGCGTTCACCAAAACGACGCGAGAATCAGCGCTCAGTGCTTCCGGTGTGAATAGCTTTTTGATTCTTCCGTTGGTTTTCTCCTCCACAAAGTGATTGATTATCGCAGCGGTTTCAACATTTTTCGCAAAATTCACCGACTCAACGCCCGACCGAAACTTTTCAACGGCAACTTGTCCGAAATTCTTATTGATTTCGTGACCTTGTTGCACATAAATTTGATTGACAATCGATAGATTGGCTTTCCCAGCGCCAGTTTTGAGCAGGCCATAGTGTGCTTGGAATTCGCTGGCAATCGCTGATTTGTCGCCATTAAAATGAAGTCCGCGTTTTATTTCTTGTAACGTGTTCCCATCAGTTGCTTGTGACAAAAGTGCCAGTGCGTTTGTCACGGAGAATGGAGAGACGATCACATTTCCACTGGTTGATTTGGCACATTGCTACGATGAAATAGAAACTCATTTCTAAATGGCTATTTTGCAATTAGATGTTTTTCTAAAATACCTGATACAAGTTCGATGTAAACGTGGAAATTCCCCTGGCGAGCTCGTTTGCATCTGTGGCAACGGCGAACAAAATCGCAAACGCAATTATCAGTCGTTTCACTTGAATTGAGAAAGAAAAGTAAATTAAAAAATTGCCCGTAAACTGTTCAAGTAGTCAATAAATAAAATACTTTTTTCTGAAATGATCTCAATAGCAGGTGATGTGTTTTGCTTCGAAAAGAACCCAACTGATTAGTTCATGTATTCAATCACAAATAATTTCTTCTCCAGTGTTTCGCTTCTTTTTATAGACACTCCAATCGTAAACAAATGATTAAAATTGTATACAAAGACAAACACGAAGGGCAGATGTATGGGATTTCCAAATATGTCATTAAAATGCCCAATATTCAGTATATTTGATCGATATTCCAGTGATGTTATTGTTTCTTCTTCAACTGTTAAAATACGTGGAATATTCGAACTACAATGCGAACTATTATGGTTACTACGAACAGTTTATTCTATAATATTTGCGATATTTTGCATATTTGAAAATATTTCATGTATATTTTTGGTTCATTGCAAGCCTATCGAACAAACATCAACTATTTTTGTTGACACAAGTCAGGTTTCTAGCAAAGCAGCAGACGCGATTAAATCATACACACATAGAATACGTAAGTGATGATAACTTATGGTTTGTTTTACTAGCCATTACGAACTTGACGACCAAAATGAAATGCACGAAAATTACGATGATACGACACATCAAATTGGTACAGCGATTTGTGATAAAGACACAGTTAATGTGATGTTATTCGTTCTATTCTACATTACCATGTATGCAATAACAAATTTTCTACTTTGAAAATGATTTCATGACCTGACGAAAAAAAAAATGATTTGCTTCTCGTACAAATAAATAAACAGATTTCTTTTTCAATTTCAACACACAAAACCATAAAGTCAAACAATCACAACTGGTCTTTTACCTACACCACAGGCCATAAGTTTGGATACCCCTATGAAACGTTTGTTTCTACGCTTTTTGAACATTTTCACTTGAAATTTAGTATTGGATATGAAAATATATCGAAATTCTGACCGAATGGATGATTTGGAAGATAACATTTGGCCGGCCTATGGCCATCTTTTGGCCCTTGAGCTGTGGGAGCCAAAATCGAAGTCTTAAACGGGCCATCCAATTAAAAACGCCATTGGAAAGATCTTGAAAAGTAGATGTTTAATACCAAAAATGATACGTACTCTCTGAGACCTTTCCAACGACGTATAGCATGTTGAAATTGGACAAGAGGTTTGAAATTTAAAAATTTTGGGCCAAATTCATTCATAGGGGTATCCAAACTTATGGCCTGTGGTGTATCTCAAGCCGACTTGGGTGTTGCTTCATTTCCTGAGCGAGAATTTAAATTGCTGGAAATTTTAATGTCAATTCAAAGAATATCGATATTCTGTGCGAATTTTAACAACATGGGAATTCCCAGTTGCAACGCTCTTACATATAATACAATGCATACCTCCAAACATGACATAGAAAACACCAATAAATAAAGACAAGTGAATACATTGAGCGTTTTGTGTGCTTTGCATTGTTTAGTGTTCTTATATAGGTGTATATTTTCGCCACTGAACTGTTGACTTTGTATTTCTTCTCCATTCTTCCTTCATACATTATTGATATGAAACTAATGCGGCGATCCCATCAGTGTATGAATCAGCCTTTCTGTTCATGAAAATAGTAAACAATACAGCGCCGCCTGGGGAGTAAGTGCAATGTGTCATACTTTCAACATTCCATTTAACACAGACGTGTACTTGTTACAGCAAACTATGTGCATTATTCTCTATTCCTCCAACCGGTCTCCAGGTGCCGCTTTATTTTTCTTGTTTGACGTTTCCTATCTATTTGTACAGACGATCAGAAAGGCTGGTATGAATATTCAATAATTAGCTTCTGCCTCTAACTGCAGCTATTAAAATCATACGATCATTTGAAGCAGCGATCTTCTTTGTGAATAAACAGAGATAATACAATCAATACAGAAATAATGAACGATGTGCCAGTCATTTGTTTTTGGCACCAACCATGTGTGAAAATAAATAACGCATGAATACAACAAATAATACAATTTGTATTTATATTTTCTTTCTAATGATTACTATATATCAATGTTGACATATATGAATCATAAACTGGATTTTTCTTGCCAATTACAACTACTTATAATTTGAAAATTGTTTTTCTACAATAAATCATCAGTCGGACAAATGATCGAATGCGCGTCACACATATCTGTTAACATTTTCAAAAATAAATATTCTGTTTCAATTAAAGTTGGTAAGTCGTCCCAGGAAAAGTATCGTTTAACTTTTATTATCCCAGATGTAATAACGAATGATCGGCACGGAATCATAGTGTGTAAGAAGCAACTATGGGTGCAATGTTAGCGACTGGGAAAAATGAAGTTTAAATTGTAATAAATGAAGTGCATTTATCAAAATAAATATGATAATTGATACCAGTGATGCCAGCAGCCTTAGAGACTCCTTCATCCACTTTAATGAAAACCTTGACACTTTCAACGAATCGCCGGTCACCGATAAAATTGGCAAATTGGCATTCGATGCAAATATTTCATTGATGCCCAATTGAAAAGGCAAAATGCCATTTGAAAACTATCAAAACCAAAAAGTGGATGGATACAAACATCTTCGAAAGCGCTATTCAGTTTTTTTTTTCATCTGCAACACAAAGGGATATTGCAACTTTTTTGACCAGAAAAAATGCCATCTTACGTCGTGCCCGTAAATTATTTTACTATACATTTAGATGGTAGAGCTTGAACAAAAGTTCGACACTACTACTAACTTGGAAAGAGCTTGATAAACTTGATGAAATACATTTATTTTATGATCGTTGCAATACCCCTATGCTGCAACAGTAAATTTTGGAATCTGAATTTTAAGCTTTTGTTCACTCAATAAATTTGACACTGAGAACGGTGATACTATCACATTGAAACGAATTCACATCTTTCTTTCTTTCTTTATATAAAGTTACTCGTAAAGCAGATTTTGTTGTTCAGTTGGCGATAGACAACAATCGCACGCATAGATTCAAGTTGTTTCAAGACACATATGTTCCACATCCAGAAAAATTATTCTACTACACTTTCTTGAATCGTCAAAACTGAAAATTCTCCATTCATATTTCACTTTATCTTATCGCGCCTCCAAATTTCCTCAACTTTATAAAAAAGCGACAGTGTTCCAAACGGATCATTTCTATTATAATAAAACTTTTTGATTTAATTCAAGTAAAAATGTATTTATTTTGGTTCTAAAATTAAAATTTAACATAAAGCCTATAGAATTAGAAGTACTCGTTTATTTCTACAATGAACAATCAACTTAGATGCTGATATGAGCGATAGTGAAAATTAAAGATTATTTTCTCGCAGTAAAACTAAAAACGTTTGCATTGCATTGAAATATAAAATACAAGTCGCAATAAAAGGAACATATGCAACACTACCGTAGAACTGTAATAGATGTAGATATGTTCAATGATTTGTTTTATCCAGTATGGATTTATTGAAAAATAAGAACTGTTCACGAGCTCAATTCACTCAAGTTCCAATACAAGTCATGAGTATTTTTGTGTAATTACTGGAAATTCTATCAAAATTATTATGGTTTGATTCAAAAATTGAATCTAATTTTGTTTAAATGTCGTGATTCGTCCACTAAAGACAGTAGTTTTGGATATGTTGTCCCAAATGAAATACAAAAATGGATGATCACAATTGAATGATGGCGGCAACATTCGATCCATCAATGCTATCCCTACAATCAAAAAGAGAGATGATGTCAACAAAATTTGAATTCAAATGAATTAAAAGTGAAGTGTTAAGCTTACCTGTGGCAGCAGCAGCCTCAGCACCATCTTCATTTACTTCGATAAAAGCTTTGTGAACAACATCGGACACGAACAACTTGTCATTCGTTGCTAAAATTCCAGTAAAATCAGCTTTCGTTGTAAACATATCAGTCATGCCCATCTAAAGAGACAACAAAATATACTCAATACTCGATTTTTGATAAAGATTAGACAAATGGGTACTATCTGGATTGTACGTACATTTTTCAAAACGTCATTCAACTTGATTTCGTATTCGACCTTGAATTTTGGGATGGAAACGTCAATGTTTTCGGGTTCCAATGTACTGACAATCCTGGCCGATTCAAAGTTTTTCATTTTGTCTTCGAGTGTCGGTAATCCAGTGACGCTGTTTGGCAGCACAAACACCATTGACAAATTGGAATTGGCGTATTTCATTTCAAGGGCGGACGCTTCCAGATCATCGAAATAACCATAGTTAAATTCACGATGCATGGACATAAAATCTGTTGAAACCTTTTCGATGCCATTCATTTGGAATTCGGATTTTTGGGTGCGTTTCAGATCGAATTTTTGCTCCCAATCGCCTTTGAAATAAATGGCATTCACCAAAACCACACGAGTGTCTGAATTCAGCATACTTGGTTTGATCAAATCCTTGATTTTCCCCTTTGTTTTATTCTCCACGAAGGTGTTAATTGTACGCGAAGCATCAAGACTATTGGCAAAATTCACGCTATCGACTCCCGATACGAATTTTTGCACCGCAATGTCTTGGAATCTTCTGTTTATTGTGTAGCCCTGTTGTAAATAAATGCTATTTGCGACCGAGAGTGTTGTTCTGCGAGCACCTCGTCGCAGCAATCGTGTACGACGACGAAATTGATTGGCTGTCTTGACTTTGCCCAATTCCAAATGTAACGAACTCTTAATCTGTTCATACGTCTCACCGCTTGCTCCCTGTGACAAAAGTGCCAGCGATTTTGCTACCGAAAACGGCGATATTATCATATTTCCTTCCGTTGTTTGGGCACATTGCTAAACGACAAGAGAACATATGAGGCTGTGAGAATGAAAATGGCAATACAGGAAAAAAGATTCTGAAGCGCATCAAGAAAAAAAAATTCGCAAAAATGAATCATGAGTTCTAAATACGCAAAAGTGAACGATGAACCTCCTATGCTGCCCATGTAAATTCATGTTTCACTTTTACTTATTCAGAACTCATGATTCATTTTTGCGAATTTTTTTTTCTTGATGCGTTTCAGAATGTTTATTCCTGTATTGCCATTTTCATTCTCACAGCCTCATATTTCAATTTTTTCGATCAAACAAATTCTTCACACGGCGAAGAATTCAATACAACAACAAAAAAACACATTCGTTTGACATAAGACTGGTTTGAAGAAATTGCACTTTGAGTTTGACGCACAGTCTGAAATTTTACCTGATATAAATCCCATGAAAACTTCGAAATGCTCTTGGTCAAGAGTTCACTAGATGGAACCTGCGACGCGGCTATTGAGCATAACGCAAACACAACTATCAATCGTAACACTGAAATGGAACAATTCATGTTTTGATAATTTTTCAATGAAATAATTTTACGCATAAAAATCGTTTGAATGTTACAATTTTTGAGACACTTTTAAAACTTTTTCTTTTTTAATGCAAACCAATTTGAATGAAATTCTTACTTTTGTCGAATATTTGATTCGATGCCTATAGTTTCGCTTCGAATCACTTCGCTTGTTGTTTAAGAATGTCCGAAAGTTTCGTCGCAATATTCAAACACAAACAAAAAATACGTTTTATTTCGAATTTGTCGTTCTTTTTCACATGGAACTAGAGATAATACACGAATATACGTATAAATTTGAAGTGTTGAAATTAATTTTAACTGGTACAGAGAGAGGGAGAAAAAAAACGGTTCGGCAATAAAGCAGTCGGCAAACCTTATCACGGAACTCGGAAATTCTGATAACTCGCACAGAACAACAAAAATAAGTCAAATGTGTGTTTTACTTTTCATTCGCCTATTTCAGAATATTATAAGGCGCGAACAAGTCACAACGATACACAACATCTACGATAAAATTCTTAGGCCCTACTATACAAAACGAGTGTATGTTTTTCGATTTATATAACATTTATTACACGATACATACGAAGCGGATCTAACACAAACTCGATTCGGATTTTGTTCGGCACAACACGAACTTTCAACATGAAGATAAAGAGAGCATACATAATAATCGGAACGCCGAACCGCCGTTTTCGTGACTTGATGCAAATTTTTTTCATTGACATTTGCTCTTTTTTTTATCAAACGAATATTCTGTTGCGACTGCGACATACGGAATTCCCTAAACGTAATCATACGCTCACAAATACGTCCCAACACAAAAGATTAGGTATTTCCGTCGCTCTGACAAGTGGACACTGGTCCGCATTTTATTTATTGTTTACGAATTCAATACAAAAAAGACGAGAAATAAATAAACAAAATGCGACCAGCAGCGTCTCAATGTAAGCAATGTGTATTTGCCACACATGTGAAGACAACGAAAATGTAGAACATGCGCAATATCAATCGAGCGCTTAAAATTTATGACTATATTTAACATATCTATATGTATTAGCATACGAACGGCTTTGCTGTAGTACAAAGGAGGAATATGTATAGAATAAAGATAAAAAGGTCACCAGTTTATCACCAGACTAATCTGAAACCAGAGTACGAACCGTTGTTGTCAAAATTAAAGTAATAAAAATGGCAATAGAAAAAAAATCAAATATGGCTAACGAATATGTGCAATGGGCACCATAACATTTCACTGAAGTAATTATTTTATGAACCATGAAAGCCATGATCGTCTAAACTCTTACTTTTAAACACAAACAAGCTTTTTGATTTTGATTTTATTTGTTTTGTAATCAAGGTGATGCAAGAATGGTTAAACTTCTCATCGAAAACCGCACTGACGTCAATGATCAAGGCGTGGATGGACAGACAGCACTTCATATGGCTGCACGGCAAGGTGATTGTCTAAACTCTTACCTCTAAACAAAAATCATCTTTTGATTTTGATTCGTTTCCTTTTGTAATTCAGGAAAAGTGGAAGTTGTGGAATTTCTCGTCAAACACGACATCAAAGTCGACACTAAAACCAAAAAAAGGAGAAACAGCTCTTCATGAGAAGGGTATTTGTTAAAGAAAACTCGTATTTGGACGATTTTATTACCAAAAAAATTGTCACATTTTTAGATGATTTTGTCATTTAAAAAAAATTATTTTAGACGAATTTGTTAAAAAAATTGTTATTTTTTTAGACGAATTTGTTTTATTTTTTGATATTTTTGTATTTAACCATTTGTTAACAGCGTTTGGTTCTGTCCCAGAAAAAATATCTAGATAAAAACGAGATAATCTCAAAAATGTCCAAATCTATCTGGATATCTTTTTTAAATTTATCTTTTTTTTTATCTTTTTTCCGAAAAATGGACGAAAATTGGCCAAAAAACTTTAACACATAAAATAACACACAGCACCATTGAAAATAATTAAACGTTTGATTTTCAACAGGTGGAATAAAGATCGTTCATGAATTCTGCCCATATGGTGATCTCAAAAGTTTCTTAGTGAAAAATAGAGAATCGGTTGCTAGTCAAAGTGAGACAAACACGAATAGAATAGGCGCTTATGTCGGAATTTCTGAATTCGTAGAAGGTGCCTTTTGCGAACATGTTTGTTCTGTAGAATTTCTTTTAAAATTAGCTTTTTCCATAGAAAATCCTCCTGTAACATCATTAATTTCGCCTTTGACACCCATCTTCCCATACACAACAACGGATTTGCTTAAATGGCCGGCTCAAGTGGCAAGCGGATTTTCATCTTTGGCTTCGAATGATCCTTCCATCGTAAACCGCGATTTAGCTGCAAGAAACATTTTGTTGTGTGCGGATAAAACGGTTAAAATTGGGGATTTTGGTTTATCACGGACACTGAACGGAAGTAAATATTATATAAAAATATCATGGGTAAGAATGTGAACAAATGAACAACGTCTTTGAATTAGAATTGAAGGTAAGAGTGGTTTATTATTCACAGGCTCCTGATCCAGAGCCATGGATGGCCATAGAGTCACGGCAAGAAGGAACTAAGCAGAAATTCAGTGTAAAATCTGATGTTTGGTCGTTTGGTGTTGTGCTTTGGGAACTATTTTCAGAAGGAAACAATCCACGTCTCTTTACGGTGGAACAATTGGAAAATGGGATGCGATTATCAAAACCAGAAAAGGCTTTAGAAAAAATGTGAGAATAGAAGAGTTAACTTCATGAGTTGAGGACTTTTAACTAACGCTTCAAATGCGAGGGGGAAATCACTCTTTGAATTACTTTTTCTATTACTTTTTGGCACGCTATTACTTTAGTAAATTACGAAAGTAATTAAACGGTCATGTCAAAGTTTGACGTTTGTCAAACATTGGTTTTGTAATACCAGAAGATATAAAATTGAGCTTGAAGTAAGTTTTAGTTGAGTATTAATAAATTCGAAAGTATAAAATAAATTCTATACAAATTTCTTTTGAGTCATGCCGCATTTGGAATAAAAACGCAATCGAGCCCACACCAAACTATATTTTTCCATTTTCATTTTATATCATTATTTATTTATCCAAGAATACTTTGGGTATGTGGTTTATGGCGAACAGACATAACCAAACTATGTCCAAGATGTCTCAATGACATCTACCTCAATTACTTTTTTCGGGAAAAATTACTTCTCTATTATCATATCATTTCAATTATTTTTAAGTGATTTCCCCCCTCGTTCAAATGCTAATTTTAATTTTAATTTTTGCAAATAGTTATAGCCTAATGAAGTCTTGCTGGCGAAAAAATCCAGAACATCGTCCAACAGATGATCTAGAGAAAGCGCTGTATAAAATGTATTTGGATGCACTAAAACGTGATGGAAAATGTTCAATAACCGTGACAGGAGATGAAGAGTTAGTGCAAGTGTAAGCTAATCAGAGAAGACATCTGATGCCACAGAGGCATGATTCCAGTTCGGATTATAATTCATCTTTCCAAGTTGCAGTTATATAATAGTAAGAATAAAATATGGTAGAAATATATTTATAGACAAAATTGAGCGTAGAGTATGTTTTATGGACTTTGTTTTGATAGAAGCGAACAAGTATTATTCAATTTTTAAAAAAAGGTTGAAGGATATTATGTACATTTGACGTGGTTTTTAGCGTAACTGGTTACAGATACAAATGCAGTGTCCCCAGCAAAGATGTAGCGTTCGAGAGTCAATGACTTTGCTGCAGACATTATGTCTTATACATTACCCTATAAACGGCAACAACGCAAGACATGTAAACATACTCTATGCCAACGCAAACGAAATCATAAAGAAGTAAACTCGCCTCTCCAAAAAATTAAATCAAAGGAATACTGTCCTCTTAGTCTTTCTCATAGATTTAATTTAGATGTTTGTTTAGTGAAAAATAGAAAAGAGCATGACTCAAACCGCAAACCAAGTGAATTTAAATTTAAATTTAGAAACTATACCTCAACATATTTGATTATTAAATTCAAATTGCGAACTGCTGCGATTGATAGTCCAATTAAATATAAAATATAACAAATAAAACTCAAATATGCTGTATTTAAATGTATATATTGTTCATTTATTGAAATTATTTGTTATGCCTTACAAAATTCTCGATTAATCGATTAATAAAAGCTAAAAAATAAATGTATTTAATTATTTTTAAAGTCTGAGATACTGTTGTATTCCTTGCTGTTCCCACCGCTCATCATTCACATCTTTCGACGACCCGAATAATGAACAGGATGATTCTCTAGCGCATTCAACTTGAAAAAAATAAGACTTGAATATTTTAAATACGAAAATAAAAGCTGAATTTGCCACCAGTCAAACTCTTAAGTCTCTACTAAAATTAGACGTAGAATATATATCGATGCGAAGCATTTTCTTCATTTTTTCAAAATGTTTCTCTCATTTTGAAGAAAAAAAAAATTGTTGTAAAAACAAAATTAAGTCGAAAAAAAGTGTTCAGCATCATACTTTCCCCATATTCGGATTAAGTGCTAAAACGAATTGTTTATATTGATTATTACTTTCGCTGCATTGGGAGGTTTCATTTTTATTCAAATTCTGTCTCGCTTAAATCCTAATGTAAATAGTTTGCATGTTTTAAAATCCAAATATCGCTACGAAGAAAGGTTTTCGCTTAAATTAAACTCAGAATATTTTTTTTTGTTCTACTACGCAACTAAATTTAAAAGAAACTATTTTACCAAGTCAAATTTTCTGGCATTTTCACATATTAGATCACATTACCACGTATTATATCGTAACTGAGAATTAAAAACAAAAATAATCAAAAACATTTGTCTCCCCCATTCATCTCGGCGTTTGTACAAAAATTGTTAATTTCAAAGCGTAAGTTAACTTAAGTGTGTATATTTTGTATCTAAATTTTAGGATTTCTCTTCTTTTCTCTAATAAATTGTTGTTTAAGTAGTACATTAAGGCATTGAAACATATGGTCGTTTTCGATTAATTTTTTGTTTGTTTGTATAAAAAATATAGGCACTTGTTTTTCGTTTAAAAATTTCGTTTTCGTTTCATTTAGTTCGATCTACATTAATTAAAAAACATCAACTAAAATCCTATTTTACTTACACACTATTCGATCGAAAATAATTTCGCTCTTAAAATTCGCTTATCTATTTATTCGAGATGTAATTGGCAAAATGGCAATTAATATATGTCGCTATTAAATAAACGATTGATCGCATAGCTTAAACCTAAATCGATTGTGTTCGTGCGTTGGAAGTTCATAAAACTGAATTATTATAGTAACGATTCTCTTCGAGAAGTGAGCTCAACGATGTGGACATATCGCTGATTTGCATGTTTGAAGTGCTTGAAACCGTTTCGGGCTGTTGATCAGCCCACGATTGGCAACTTTGGACATACTCCAACGTTCGTTGATAGATGTCGGGTCGCATGGACGTTTGCTGTTGGCTTTGCTGAATGTTCAGAGTGGCCGCGGCCGCCGTCGTCGTCGCTGGAATTGCACTGTTTGGTTGAGTGTTGGTTGACATTTGCATTGGAATTTGCGTGGCATACAAATTGGTCAATGGCTGTTGGGGTGGTTGTTGTTGCTGCTGCTGTTGCTGCTGCTGCTGTTGCTGCTGCTGCTGCTGCTGTTGTGGTTGCATTTGTTGTTGTTGTTGTTGTGGTTGCTTCTGCACAGCTTGCGTCTGTACAACAGGCGACATTTGCGATTGGCTTATGTCTTTGCACTGAATTTCACCAGCCATTTGATTCAAATCCGATTGATTGTTCAACGGTGATCCATTCATTTGCATGCCATTCCGTTTCATTCCATTGTCGAATTTATTCGTATCATCACTGATTTGAAGAGCACGAAGCAATTGGCAACAATTCATGGCACTTCGATCGGTGCGATGGTAATAGCCCGGTGTTTGCGTACATGCATTCACATTGTTTCCGCCTAAAATCGAACCGAGAAAAAAGAGATTAGATTCGGTTCTTCTTTTGTATTTAATAAAAGATTTCCAGTTTGAATCTTGTGATAAAGGTAATTCAATGTTTGAACTTCAAACAAAGAACCCATTTCAATGACAATGGCATAAAAAAATACATACCGTAATTCATCATTCCGTAGTTCATTGCACTACCGTAGCCGCTGTTGTAGTTGCATTGCATATGCGTTGCATTCGATGGGTATTGTCCATTTTGATGGTAATTGTTTGGATATGGAGGCGGAGCTTGTTGGTATTGGGCGCATGGCCACATATTGTCGGTGTTGCATGTAGCCGGCGTATGCGGTGTAGCAACTAATGGCGGACTCTGCGGTTGATTCAATGGACTTGGCATTTGATATGCTTGCGAATTTCGCCATTGATTGAAGTTCTCTGGATTTGCATTCATTCGGCGCGTTGGCAACATTTGGGACGGTTGTTCGCATGGTTTGTCATCATTGGCCATCGCATTGGTATTGGCATTATTGACTGGCGTATTTGCATTTGAATTGGCCGCACTCTCGTTATCCGCCACTTGATTTAGATAATTTTTAAACTCTTCGGGGATGATCAATTTGTCTTCGACCATTTCACCTTCTTCCACTTCATCCAAGTCGACCTCTCTGTTTGGATGCTGTTCCACATTGATTGCTGCGGATGACAAAATGTTTGTTAATATATTTTTTTTTTTAATTCGAATTCAAGCAATTCAAATGATCAATTTAACAAAACTAAATCAAAATGAGCTCCAATAGAAAAAAAAAAACTCTTTACCTGTTGTAACAGCACTAGCTGGTGTATCGCTCGTGAGTTTGGTGGGTGTAAGGGAGCGTGGTCGTTGAGGTGGAGATTTTTCATTGGCACCGAAATTAACGGGTTCGGACATGCGACGATCTGGCACGCATGGATTCATATGAATTGCACCGATATCATGTGCTGACGACAATTCGCTGCCAATTGTCGAAATCGATGGCACCGACAATCGGTTTGTGTTGTACAAGGGATTTGCGAAGCTGCTCTGTTGCAAGCGTTGCAAATGTGTTGTCAACAGATGAGATGATGGTGGTGGAGGTATGAGGCACTGGCCACCAGTCGTTGTGTTTGACATTTCACTCGATCGTCTCGAGCTACCCGGTGAAATTGGATCGTAGAACGATGCATAGTTGGTATTGTTTGCATTCATCGATGGGCGCATTGCATGGATCGCTGACGGAGGCGATAACATTGTCGAATGTTGAGAAGCTATAGAACACAGCACAATTAAATACTAATTCAAGTGTTTTTTTTTTCTTCAAAATATTACGGTATTTACCTTGGCTACTTCGTCGGCTAATATCAGCCGATTTCATGCTGTAGTAAAAGCTGCTGGCATTCGAACTGATACTGTCACGACGGACGGCATTTGCATTCACATTTGGATTAATGGTCGTTGATGGTGGGAATTGTAAGCGAGGCAATAATTCAGTTCCACCGAGCGGAGTAATAATTGGTCCAGTACCTGGCTCGGTTTTCAAATCAGAAATACGCTTGTTTGCATCGAATGGACGCATGTTTCGCCGATTGATTTCAGGTATGTTGGAAAGTGAAGAGATCCCTTTGGCCTGTAAACGAGGCTTGAATCGGTTGCGAGGATTACGATCCATCATCGGAGCTGGTGTTACAACACTGTCACCCATTTGACCGAAACCAACATCGTGCTCCTCAAGCCCTGGACTCAATCCAACCATTTCGCGGAGAACAATTGGTAGATCGGCAACCTGACGAAAGAAAAAAATTATTTATTCAATATTCAATTGGATTGTGATTTGAGTGTTTGTTTGTCAATAATATGAATTATTTGTTTGTGTTATTTCAAAATTGAAATAGAAAATGCGAAAACTAAAATGTAAAAAAACTATTTAGCAAATTTCTCATTCTTACCTCTAAATCTTCATCTTCGTATGGCCAAGCCGGATCGTCAATAGCTGAAACACTTTCGCCGATGATTGGTGCTCCGGTGTTAATAACCACGGATGATGGCACGTATTCGTACTCATCGTTAAAACCGGTTGCATTGTGTTGCATCGCACCTCCGCTCATTGGACTGTTGATCGGTTGGTCTGGTGAGTGTGCGTCCGATTCCGATTTGATGCTTGGACTCGAAACGCTTGTATTTTTACCACCGGCAATACTGTGATGATCTTCACTGCGCGGACTCGAATCGAAACCGCTGGCATTCGACACACCACCATGGCCATCATCGAAGCTATTGTGATTTGAAGGAGTTCCCTTATGCCGTTTGCTTGCATAAAATTCAGCGCCGTGCACGGTTTTCACGTGTTTTCTCAACGAACTCGGATCGGTGTAGCGTTTTGTGCAGCCGGGTGCTTTGCAAATGTACGGTTTCTGTAATTGTTATTTTAGTAACGATTTTCTTTAAATTTGTTCAAATTCTCTTTCAATGAGGATCAATTAAATTTAACTTAATGAACAATGGTTCGAATCGTAATATTTTCAATCAATTCACCCACATTTGAAAAGTGTATTAATTAAAAAATTTACTTAAAAAAAAAAAGAACAACGCAACTGAGTACACTGACGGTACGATCTTAATACGTAGAATGTACAACTTGCACTGACGAGTTGTGTCCTACTTTAATTAAAACTTATTTACCTCATTGCTGTGCGTACGATTCTGATGTTTGGCACGATCGGATGCATTGCTGAATGCCTTACTACAGCCTGGATATTCGCAAGTATACGGTTTTTCACCAGTGTGCGATCTCAAGTGGGTTTTCAAGTTCTCCAAACGTGAATATGCCTTGAAACAGCCCTCAAACTGAAATTGAAATGAATCGATTAGATCTCATGTTTCCCCCTCAAGATGATTTCGATAATACGTTTTTATTCTGTTCACTATCAAAACTGAACGTAAAAACAGAACAAAACGGCATCAATTCGACTACTTACAGTGCATTTATGTGGTTTTTCTCCGGTGTGCCTTCTCATGTGAACGACAAGCATGTATTGTGCTTTGAATGGTTTTTCTTCACGTGAGCAATCCTCCCATCGGCATACAAATGATTTCTTATTGGCATGGATGTGATCGTCACTAATGTGTTTGACGAGTTTTTCTTGTGTGGCAAATTCAAGGCCACAATCGCGCCAATGACAATTTGTCTCAACGAAATCCATCATTTCGGCATCGTCTTTCAAATCGGTTGTGTCAACAATGCCATCGCCCATACCAGCGCCAGAGATTTCATTTCCCGATGATCCGCCGCTATTTGTATTCTTATTACAGTTCATACTCATATTATGATGATTTGCATTAGTGCCCAAACCAAACATGCTGTTGCCATTCTCTCGTTTAATGTTCCGTTTGCCGATGGCGATTTTCTTATTGGCTACGGTTGCATTGAAGGCAATTGCTTCCGATGTTACACCTCCAGATGCACTGTCCGCTTCCACTTGAGCCACCGTATTGTTGCTATTGATCGCTGCATCGTTATTATTCTTTTCGGCAATCATTTTTCCATTGTCATTTTGACCCGATTCATGTTTGCTGCTCTTATTATTATTGTATCCCATGTGACCACCCGTGGCAAGATCATGTTTTTTCGTCAGTTCAACACTCTTCATTTCGATTGTGTTCGACATATTGTTATTTTCATTTCGATCGTTGTTATTGTGGTTGTCGTCAACGATCATATTGGAGATTTGGTGATTGGGTTTCTGCAATGGATTACGTGATGGTGACACCGATGAATGACGCATACTATGATGATGCTACATTTGCGGAAGAAAAGGAACAAGACAATTTTTTAGTCATCAATTTCAATTAAAGATCAAGAATTGATTTCCATTTCAAGCATTACATTCAAAATCTTTATGAGACTGCGATTTAATCAAATACAAAACCCTGAGCAAAACTTACGCTTAGTGCGGAATTTTCACCGTGCTGCAAAGATGCGACCATTGATGGTTGCAATGGATGATGACCCAATGAGAACATACTGGATGTGGGAGACGTGTGATGATGTGGATAATGGCCTGGTTGGAACGATGAGTGAAGAAGACCGCTTGCCCGGAACAAGTGTGCAGACAGAATGTGTGGTGTAATGCTGGCTGCCATACTAGCAGCGGCAGCAGCTGCGTGCATTCCAAGTCCGGCTGACAAATGACCAAATGATCCGCTAGCGGCACTGCTGCTGCGCGATCCATTCACCATTGTGGCCAGTGAATTGGGTGAGAAACGAATCATTGTATTGATGTCAAACGAATCGGAATATGGCGATGAGGAAAGTGCTCGTTTTCGATTGACACTTGCACGAAGCATTCCATTGGTGGCTGCATCACGTGAATTGCCCAATCGTCCATTGCTACCGTCCAAACTGAAGTGAAAATCAGCGCTGGCCAATGAACTATTCACAGCACCGTGAATATCACTCAACGATGGACCTCGACCATTCAAATACTCCGCACTCAATCCTAATTAGAATCAAACCAAAGAAAAACCAAAAACAATTAATTAGACGAGAGAAAAAAAAGAAGACAATCTCGATTCTCTAAATTCGAAAATAGATTTAAAATAATTTCCTATGGCAGGAATTTGATTGTGGAATTCTTGTGAAAAAAAAACTTCTGTTTGTCGGTGTGTTTATGTGAAACATGTGATTCTTTCCACCCTTTTTAGACAAAACATCAGTCGTTTTTTTGTGTGTGTGTGTGTGTGTTGCTGTTGCTGTTGTTGTTCTACGATTTTTTTTTTAATGTGTTTTTCATTTCTTGACGCCCGATATAAATTAAGACGGTTTCGGATGAACAGAGGTGTTGTTGCCTTTTGCCACTAATGAAATCAACACATTATTTATATGAATTACGCTCGCGCATTATTCACCGCGTATACAAATCCATCAAATTTTATCGACCATAAAAATGTTTCATTTTCTAAATCGTATGCGTGTTCAAATTTACATTTGGCCTTTTTTTTGTGCTCGCTCGCTTGCTTACGCTCCCTGTGTTTCATTCTATGTGTTCCGTATGATTTCGTTGGTGTTTATTAAACTACAGCCATTGAAGATGTGAAACGATGACGAAGAAAAAACGTCATATTGCCAGACATTAGCGTTACCATTAGAGCGTTCAAGCAACATATTGGAGCAAAAAGTGTGAATGAATAGAACAAATAAAACGAAATTAAACGAAAAATTGAATTCTCGACCGGACTCGGCGAGAACGCGCCGGAGAAAAATAAATAGAACATCAAAAAATATATAAACAAACAGATAGAGCGAGAGCGAGAGAGACTGAAAAATTGATCCGTTTCAGCGGTGCTCGAGATTTCGTTGTTCTTGTTTTTCGTCGGGTATAACAACGTCTCAACCAAAATGAAAACCTGAAAATGCTCAAAACGTGCCATGGATCCGGAAAAATCTCATATAAAAACGAAAAACAAATCAACAACGAACAAACACACACCAAGCGCAATACAATTAGAAACATCCATATGATTTGTTCGTAACAATTGGACGCGATAAAAATGGCTCCATTAAAAAAAATATTATTTACGTAAAAATCGACCGACAAAAAAAAAAATGAACGGCTGTGTAGTATTTTTATGATTGCTGCGAATGAAAAATTCTGTTGCATCATTTTCACCCGCGTTTTTATTTCGACGATATATGAATGAACGGCGTATGCATTCCATTTCGTTGTTTCGTGTATGTTTTTTTTCTTCTTCTCTTCATTATTATTATTTTCACAGTCCGGAGTTGCTAACATGTGCTACAATTAAGAGCAAGTTTAAAAATAGTTGTTGGAATTTTTCAATGAAAATCTCAACTTCGGATGAATGGACGACGACGACGACGACGACAACGTGTGTGCCGTATGTGTGTAAATGTGCAAACGAAGAGTGCTGCAACACGTCATTTTTTGATCACTTGATTTTCATATGACAAAGAAAAGCAGAGAAAAAAGCGCTTCTTTTTGTTCACTTGGTGACACTCATTATCTCCTGCTGCATTGTTATGTCAGCTCATTCATGCCACAATGTAATTTATTTGAATGAACGTGTTTTTTTTCGTTGTTGTATTCAGAGTATATTCGGTGTTTCCGTACGCACATGATGATATGTGAGTGTCGTTGCTCAATTCATTCGAAGAATCAACAAACCAAAAAAAAAAGGTTTTTAATTGTCAAGCGGAAGTTGTTCCTGCTGTGCGACAGTAAGTATGCACACTTTCTCTCTTGATCGCCAACGAAATTCATGTACATTGTGACAATCTGATTATGAAACACACCCAAACATGAGTGTATGCACGTGCAAACCGACCGAAATTGTTTCCGAAGAACTAAACGATTCGCATCTAAAAGGGAGAAAATCTCCTACCGTGCAAGGAACTGGAGGATGCGGCTGAAGCGTGCTGTAGTGAGTACAAGTGTTCCATGTAGCCGGGTATGCGATAAGCTGGATGGAAATCATGTTGATGTGTTGGAGGAACTGGTGGTGTTGCAGTCAAACCCGAGGCTGAATTGCTTAGGCCATTTGGATTTGTTGAGCTTGATGGCGGTGGTGGCAAAGCGGCTGCTGCCACAGCTGCTATTGCTGCTGCATGACGCGATGCAAAGAACTGTAATTCCGATGAACTTATGATTCTGTAATACAAACAAAGAGAAATTGCATTTTTATTATCATCATCTAATGAACGAATATTTTCAATAAATCTAAAGAGCAAAAAATCATAGTTTTTCAAACAAGAATAACCAATGAATTGTCTATTGATTATTTAATGATCATTTGGTTGCTTCACAGTGGGAAAAAGATGTCACTGATCGTGCGTGAATTTGATTATTTAATCTTGGATCATGTTGATGTGAAGGCCAATAATTTACATATCAACTCAAATTCATTTCTATCGACATGCCCACAGTTTCAACGAGTGAACGCAAACAGAGAGAGAGAGAGAGAGAGAGAGAGAGAGAGAGAGCGAGCGAAGAAAGAAACAGCGGTTGAAAAAGTTCACAACGAGCGCATTCTCATTGACCCGTGACGATCTTTGATTGATAACTCAAATGATTAAGCATCGAGAAAATTTGAATTCGAAAAAAATACACACAACCGAAAACGAGAGAAGAAAAAAAAAACAACGCGCACATATATGATTCTCCAGGTTTGAGAACACTCATTCGAATGTAGTAAAGTGCAACGCGTTTCATTTCCATTGTTTTTGTGTTTTCTGTGCTGGCGAATCGTTCTTTTTTTTCTCTCTCGTTCGGCTCGTTCATTAATTTGGCGTAAAACACTTGAAAATGGCGAGTCACACACAGATATGCATACATGAACGAAGTAAAGTAGAAGTTTTGTAAGAAGAAAAAAAACCCTGATCGTTTAAGTGACCAAATGATTATAATCGCATGATTACATTTGCTCCGTTTGCGTTGTATTTTCACGCTTTCAAGCTCGACAAAGTGATCTCTTAATTTAATTATACAGTAAAATAATCTGCATGGGTATTGTTTCGTCCTCTTCATCGTTGTCTTCGACAATTCATTTTATTATTCCAAATGATGTAATCTCGCTCACTCTCTTCTGTCAAGTCGTCGGGTTATACGGGAATTCCTTCTTTCTTTTTGGAGTGAGAGCGCGCAACCAAAACAAAATGAAGCTTTTCATTGCACTGACATGTGGTGTGTTGAGTATTCTTGAAAAAAAAAAATTCTTTTGGTTGTTATTTTTTGCTCTCTCTCCCTCTCTCTCTCACATTCGGCTTAAAAATGGACAAACGAAAATAATGAAACAGAAAAAAAGAGCCCAGCACACACGAAACGACGATCCAATTGAAAATGAGAAAGTGCAGTGTGATCGAGACCGAGAAGGAAAAATGTTCTCAGGCACGGACTGGTCCGCGCTGCTCGAAAAGATATGAAAAAGAAGATAAAGCTATTATAAATATAAATTAATCTCAATCGTTTTCATGTGGCGTTCAATGGAATGAGGGAAATACATACGCCAGTAAAACACTTAATAGTTTGAAGCGAAAAATCCACGAAGCCAAAACTGAATTTCAAAAGAAATGAACGAAATACAACAACAGCAAAAGGCACGCAAAAAAATAAAACAACAAAACAAAACGAAAAAACAAAAACAAAAACGAGAAGAAAATAAAAATTGTGCACACGGCGATATTAACCGAGCGGTATGCAGAAATGCAAAATAATCATTGGTGATCCTTATGGCCCATGTAACGATAATAGCCTGAACCAGCGCAATGAGGAGCAATGCCGAGGCCAGGTAAATTCATTCACAGTGTATTGATATTATTAAGCCAAAGAAATATAATCAATTTCGATCTTTTAGCAAAGGAAAAGGGGGAGAGCGAGCGGCAAATGTAGATGAGCGCAAGCGGGTGCGCATATGGCATAGAGATAAAAATCGGGAGCAATAGTAGAATAAAATAGTGACGAAGATGCAGTGGCCAAATATAATGGAATATTACGATTTGCATTGCCATTTGTGGCTTTGACTTAAAAGTCAGTAATTTTATGAATTTCAGCCGTTCAATCGCGACCGAGAACAAGCGATCGAGTGAGAGAGTGAGAGAGAGAGCGAGTGCCTCGACTTGGCCGTGCTTCGTGACGGCATTGTGCATAATATTCGTAATTGAGTAAACAATTTAGCAAAAATGTTACCGAACAAAAGGCATAAAGCATCTGAATAATAAACGTATTTTTGTTTCCATCCACTCTGTGTTTCCATAAATGTTTTAGAACAAACACAACAACAACGGACGAAAAAAAAAATTGTTTAAATGCATATGGATTCTATTTTGAGCCGCACGTTTCATTCTTATGCAGATTGCATACACTTATTCTTTCATTCTTTTCTCTTTGTGTGTGTTTTCGTGTGCTGGTATGTTCTCTGTGCTGTTCAATTGAATGCCAGAAATTATGTGTGTATGACGATGATTGTTCTCTGATACCATTTTGCTATTGCACCGCGTTGCCCATTCTTCTCCGGCGAGATGGGCTTTTGTTTCCATCATCTTTTTTTTTTTGCTTCTTCTCTCCGTTGTTGTTGCGCTTTGTTTTCAAAGTGAAAACAAATGCCCAGATCGGAAACACCAACAACAACAACAACAAACAGCCCAACCAATTGAATCGAATATAAAAACCCATATTTTTCTTATTTCCACCATTTATTGAAGAAAAAACAAATGATGGTTTCTTTTTTTAGCAAAAATCCGCCACATTTTCAAGAGAATTTTTATGGCCATTTCCTTTGCGAATTCCTCTAATTGAGTAAAATATTTATGATGCCCAGTAAATATTCAGCTTCGGAAATAATATGCTCTGCGATTTTGTTGTTGTGTTCGGTTCTGTTCTGTTTTTGTTTTGTCTTGACGAACGTGAAAGTAGAAAGGAAAATTAGCGACCGCAAGGAGGAAAATGGTTGGCGGTTGAAATAGAGAGAGAGAGAGAGAGAGAGAGAGAGATATTTCTGAAATGCAAGTGGTATGATTTTGAAGATTGTTGATCACAAGACTGTTAATCAATTGCCATTGCATGATCGTATAATAACATGTATTTGGGTGCAAGTGAATTTGAAGAAGAAAATGGACGAAATGCATCGAAACAGATGCAACCAAATGGCCAAAAGAAACCAACAAAAACAGAAAAAAACAACAAACGAAAAAGAAAACATGCAACGCAACGACAACGCGTTTAGTTTTCTTACGTTTTTTTTTTGTGTCTGTCTGTCTGTTTGTGTTTGTTGTAAGCGCGAAACGAGCAACGAGATGAATATAAACTGGAATATGGCCGTAATTGCTACCGATTTTTATGGATAGAATTGATGATAGAAGGAGACGAAAAGAATAGCACATTATTTTTTAACAACAGCTACACAAGCACACACACACACACAAGCATACACAGTGTCGCGAGTGCTGTTTGTCTGCAACAACTGCTTCGGTTTTTTGTTCGCATAAATTGAATGCACGCGTTCTTCACATCGTTCTCAAATACAGATTGCTCGATGCAAACACACAAAACGCATCGTAGCCAAGACATACACATATGCGTAGCACTTGCGTCGTTATGCACATCGTGATGTAAAAGATGAAGGCGTGAAACAAAACTCGCCAATACACACGGGCCCAACGAAATGCGCACAAACAAATGGTGCAAACTGGAAGAAGAAACAAGCAATGAAACAGTGCAACATAAACAGTCGAAAGAAACAAAAAAAAAACACGGAGCACACACACATACAGTCACAAACACACGGTGCATTTGCTGCACAACATCATGAGATAGAAGAAGCGCTGCATAAAAGAAAATGGTTCGCTTTTCATGTACAGCCAACCTAATGCTGAGAGGCGCATTCAACTGAGGCAATGTGTATCACATCTCGGCATGTGCAGAATAAATTGGCCGTGAAATGGATGGTGTGTGTATACTTAACATAATGTGATCAAAATCGCTGACTTACGTGAAACGCAATCAACAATACAATACATTAAAGAACGAAGGCAAAAAAGCAAAGTGAGAGCGACGGCGAGAGAGAGAGAGAGAGAGAGAGAGAGAGAGAGAGAGAGAGTTTGTGCGTTGTGTGTTCTTCTGTTGCTTTATTTTGTGGCGAACGCACGCGCGCGACCAAAGCAGAAAACACAACATTACCACAACACAAAATGAGAGCGATGATGGTGTTTTCCGAAGAGTCAAAGCTGTAATCAAACAATTCTAGTGTGATTCTCTATGGGCGCAGGGTGTGTGTGAGTGAGTGAGTTTGCTTCAGATTTCTGCCATCATCGTTACCGATTGCATACTATTTTTTTATGTTCTGCAGTGCGACCACGATATCGATAGCGATCAACCAATCGATCTGTTGCGCACCGAACCAAAAGTTCCAGACCAGCAATAATCCTTGTTGTGGTTTTGATTCGGTTGCAGCCACCGCGGTCGCGGTTACTCTTTCTCTCCGTGTGTGAAATGTGCATTCACAATTTATGCTGATTAATCTCATTATGAATTGTTTACAGAGTGTTTGCCCCATTACATGATTATGGTTTTTTTGGAATGGTCGCGCGTTTTGTGTACATGATGCGGTCATTTCGTTTTTTTTTTCAGTGGGCACATTTAAAGGCCTTCAATCTAAATGAATAATAAATGGTGAAGCACGATGTGGAATAGTGTACGTGTATAATCAATGCGCGTGTGCATTATGCCATCTCAATCATTCCAAATTTGGTGTGTGTGCACTGTGCATCGGTGGAACCAATCAAAATAATTCCGTTGATCGGTGTGCTGTGTGTGGAAGCGGCGTGGATAATTGGGGAAATTTTAAGAAATCAAATCAAGACCAGAGCTATTCGCTGCTGTTGCGTTTGACGATGCTGAGGTCGAGAGAGCTCAATTGTGCATTTTGTGGCTGAGAGGTCGCCGAGGCTAATTGATTCAAAGGGAGTAAATGAGTTCATTAATTTTGTGTGTGTGTGTGTGTGTGTGTGAGAGCCAGAGAGAGAGCGAGAGAGCTTTCTAATTTATCTGGTTCGATTGATGTTGAACCGATTGCGTTCGTGATGCTACACACTGACTCGTTGCTCGTTTTGCTCACATCTAATCGCTTAATTTCGTTTTTGTGTGGTGCGCGCGCTCGCGGTCTCCTGGTTTGGACTCAATTTTTCAATCATATTGCTCAACATTGCGCAGTTGGAACAGTTATTCATATCAAACACAGGTTGTGATGCATTTGAATCTTGATATAAATACATTATTCACTTTTTGAGCATCGAAAACCAAACAAAATTTAATAGAGTAACACATTACTTTCATGCGAGTACATTAATAAGGAGACAAAAAAGGAAAGCCATTTTGAGTCCCCATTGAAACGATGAAAAAAAAAAAAATAACAGAACTGGTTACTCAGTCAATGTGTGATTTATCTTTTAAATCATTAAGAAAATGTCTCCATCGAAAGCCGAAAAATTAAATCGTCGAAATAGAAGGGCATGAGCAGAGAGAATAAATGGGTATCAACAATCAACCGAATAAACCGCACAATTCGAATTTGTCCCCGGAGAGCGAAATCCAGTTTCTTCTCATCCAATTGAATTGTCGCGTATCGTATCGTGTTGTGTTGTGTGCGCTTCTATACTTTATCGCTCGCTCGTTTGTTTCCAAACAGAAAGAAAGGAGAAAAAAAAAATTATTCAATTTCAAATTGGTCATAATTATCCAATCGAATCACATTTTCCAATAAGAGACGTGAAAATGAAGCGATAAAACAAGCCAAGGAACGAAACGAGAGACGAATTAGGAGAAAGAGAGAAAATACGAATATCGATTGAACGCAACGCAACACACCAAAGCTCATTCTATGAAGATGTCTCCAGTCTAGACTAGTTATTACATATGCGCGTCTAATCAATACCAAAAATCTAAACACATTCTTTGTGTTCGCGCCGTTTGTGACCAGAACGGAATCTATAAAGAAATTTGAGTGGATATCAGTGTGGCTGCTGTTGTGTGCGTGCTCGAGCGCGAGCGCGCGCCAGTGATCGAGTGAGCGCTTATTTTAGGCGACGTTTTCATTGTCGTTCGATTTTAATCGGTATATCCATTTTAACAAACTGGCACTCGTTAGCCCGAGTGTCACTGGTTACTTTGTTACTGCTTTTTCGTTTCCATTTTCCATTGTAAATTAATTTTATGCGTTTATTTAATATTTCAACCGATTTTCTCTCTCTCTCTCCCTCTCTCTCTCTCTTTCTCTTGTTATTCTGATTTTTTTTCTTCTCTGGTTCGTATTCGATTACTTGGTGGAATTGGAATGTTCATTATCATTAAATAAAGTTTCTTCGTTTGGTATTCATCTTCGTTCATGTCGTGGTTTTGGAGCTATCACCTGTACTGTGCTCTTCTTCAGAAATGCAGACGCGATAATGAAATAACCGAGTATTTCGGAACAAACAACGAAAAAAAAAAATAGCCATAGTTCAGATCATCAAACTACGGCATGCGCGCGTTTTGAGAAGCAAAGAGAGAAATCTCCGAAAGAGAAATGAAGAAATTATATCGATTCATGCGCGCAACAGCACAACACCAATCAATCCAAAAAAGCCAATGACATCTCAATAGACTTGTTATTTAGTTGTTATAATATGTCTCCGAAATGTTTCTGGATTTTATGCTTTTTTCCCCCAAAAAAACACACATATTTCGGTGTTTAAATCTTCGGATGCTTCGTCTATCTTTCGCACTTATCTAATTCTTACACTTGTACACGGTCTCTCGCGCTTGCGCTATTTGTTCGATTGGACCGGTTTGGTGTGTCGTGTCTGTGGTTTTTTTTTCGATCGATAGAATACAATTCGGGGAAAGAGGAAAAAAACACGAGAGAAAAGTGATTTTCAACCCATGAAGAAATATACAAATACATCGTGTCACAAAGAACACAGCGAAATCATTTAATTTACACCATAATACGATTTTGTGTGTATGTGTTCATCTCCGTGTTATTTTTTTTTTTTTTTGGACTTTTGATGTGATCGTTTTCGTTTCGTTTCAATTCTGTTTGAAATTTTTTTTTTTATCTAAATGATTAGAGCCCGGTTCGATGCAACACATTGGTTTCATAATAAAATTAAATTCTTTGTGTATATTTATACGTTTCTTCGTATTCAAACCAAACAAATACAAACGCACAAATCACGCTATGGAATAGAGCAAA